AAAAAAAAAAAAAAAAAAAAGGCAAAAAATAAAAATTTACCTTTCATGGTCATTTTGACTTCGAGGAAGAGCCAGAAGTTGCACCATGCCAGACCCAGGGAGCTAGGTGGATGGGGCTGCACTGCGGCACTTGGTGAGCCCACCTTTCTGTCGGTGGCACCCGGTAGCAGCATTCGCATAAAGACACATAAAGACACAAAAGAGGACTTTCCTAACGCTCTGACAGTGGCAAGAGTGACAGGAGAAGGATGTTCAACGTGAGAGCAAGTATTTTGAGGGGAAATAGAGGCAGTGTGTCGTTTGCTGCATAGTTTTTAGGAAGATGCAGTGGTCACCATACACTGGCCGCCCGCAGGTCTTAGCGGCGGAAGCGCGTGGGGAGGGCGCTGGGCGTGGTGCTGACCCGGCCCTTCTGACGCCCCTTTCCCTTCACCCTCCTGAAAGTTCTCCCTGAGCAGCAAGATCACTGTGAAGGTGGGAGGGAACAGCAAAGGAACCCTGAAGGTGAGGCGGGCGCTGGGCCTGGGTCCCTGGAGGGCGGGGCGGGGCCCGGTGGCCAAGGCCGTGCCTGGCCAGGAGGAGGCCACCTCAGCTTGATCCCCGCTTCCTTCCTGGGCCTTTTCCGCTCTGGTCACCCCACCATTTCCCATCCTGCTCCCCAGCCCTGGCCCGTCCCCGGCGCACTGGCTCCACACACTGCACAGACACGGCAGCCCTGTGCCCTTTCTGAGTCCCTCGTGCTCCTGTTCCGTGCTGCCCAGGGCCCATCAGCGCACGGGGCCGAAACAGCTCCTCTGTGCAGCTGTGTGCTGCGCATCCTCCCCTGCTTCCGGGCCCACGGTCCAGGCTCGTCTGCTCCTTTAGGCCTCGGCCCAAGCCGTCAGAGCATTCTGGCCGCCTCTGGGCGCCATCTCGGGTGCTGGCCTCTCTCTCGCCCTCGGCCACACGTCTGGTGCCACTCGTGCTGGGCCTGTTCCAGGAGGGGCCGGGCCCAGACCTGCTGTACCCTTTCCCTGCCCTTGCCGAGCCAGGTCCTTCGTACCTACAACATCCTGAGTATGAAGAACACGACGACCTGCCAGGACCTCCAGATGGAGGTGACCGTCATGGGCTTCGTGGAGTACACGAGTGAGTGCTGGGGTCGCGGGACCTGGGCACGGAGGCTGCAGTGGGCCGAGCGTCCTCCTCCCGCCTCACACCCCTGCCCTGTGCAGGGGAAGCGAACTCGGACTACGACGAGGACTATGAGTATGACGAGTTTCCGGCCGGGGACGACCCAGCTGCCTACTCGCGGCCTGTGACGCCCCTGCAGCTGTTTGAGGGACGGAGGAACCGCCGCAGGAGGGAGGCCCCCAAGGTGGCGCAGGAGCAGGAGTCCAAAGTGCAGTACACCGTGTGCATCTGGTGCGTGCTGCGCGGGGAGGGGGGTCTGGATGGGTGCTGCGGGCCGGGACCGAGGCCTCCTGTCTCCACAGGCGGCGGGGCCAGGTGGGGCTGTCCGGCATGGCCATCGCGGACATCACCCTCCTGAGCGGGTTCAGCGCCCTGCAGTCTGACCTGGAGAAGGTGCGGTCAGCCGCCCAGGGCAGCCCCGCTTCCCTCGGGAGCCCCCGGAAGTCCCCAGGCAGGGACCCCAGGCCGCCTCCTCTCCCCACAGCTTACCTCCCTCTCTGACCGCTACGTGAGCCACTTTGAGACCGAGGGGCCCCGAGTCCTGCTTTACTTCGACTCGGTGAGTGGGGCAGGTGCCGTGGGGAGGGCGTTGGTGGCACCGGATCATGGTGTCTGTGTTAGGAGGTTTCACGTGAATTCATGGCATGGCAAGGCGCCAGGGCAAGAGGGTGGCCCTGTGAGCCAGGCAGAGCCAGGCAGACGCCCTGGATCATGGCAGGTGGCCAGGCACCATCTGTGGGGACAGGGACAGGACAAGGCTGTGGGCGGCAGTGAGAGGACTCAAGGTCAGGGCAAAGGCTTGGAGGAGCTGGCGGAAGCCAGGGAGGGGCGGTGAGGTCCGGGGAGGAGCCAGGCGGCTGCTCCTGGGGAGGAAGGGTGAGGAGGAGCCGGCCAGGCCCAGCGCTTTGAGGCCCTGCTGTTTCTGGGACGGCAGAGGCTGAGGCAAGGCCGCCGTCGGGAGTGAAGTCGTCGGAGACCTTGGGGAGCAGGCTTCAGAGCTCTGCTGGCGGGGATGTAGCAGAACGTGAAGGACACCGAGAACAGGTCCGGTCCTTGACCCCACATCCCTCCTGGCACCAGGTGCCCACCTACCGGGAGTGCGTGGGCTTTGGAGCCGTGCAGGAGGTGGCCGTGGGGCTGGTGCAGCCGGCCAGTGCCGTGGTGTACGACTACTACAGCCCCGGTGAGCGCTCCTGTCCCGAGCGAGGGCGTCAGGCGCAGGGTGTGGGCTGCAGGGATGGGCAGCGGAGGGGGCGCACCTGCCTCACCCGCTGCCTTCACTCAGAGCGCAGGTGCACCGTGTTTTACGGGGCACCGAGCAAGAGCAAGCTGCTGTCTACGCTGTGCTCCGGTGACGTCTGCCAGTGCGCTGAGGGTGAGGCCCTGGCAGGGTGGCGCGCGGGCCGGACGTGCTGGGGCTGGCACGCGCTCACCCTGGCCTCCCGCAGGGAAGTGCCCACGACAGCGCCGTGCCCTGGAGCGAGGGCTGCAGGACGAGGATGGCTACAGGATGAAGTTTGCCTGTTACCACCCCCGCGTGGAGTACGGTGAGCTGGGCGTCCACTCTGCTCCTCCTGCGGGCCCTGCCACCTCTGCCCTGACCCCGACTTCCGGCCCTCCCTCACCCCCCAGGCTTCCAGGTCCAGGTGCTCCGAGAAGACAGCAGAGCTGCCTTCCGCCTCTTTGAGACCAGGATCACCCAAGTGCTGCACTTCAGTAGGGATGGGCACAAGGGTGCGGGTGGGCGGAGGCCAGGGTCTGGGGGTCCGGGCCACTCCACTGATGGCCCCGCTCTTATCCCTGCAGCCAGGGATGCCAAGGCCGCTGCTGGTCAGACCCGCAACTTCCTGGTGCGAGACTCCTGCCGCCTTCGCTTGGAGCCCAACAGGGAATACTTGATCATGGGCTTGGACGGGGCCACCTTTGACCTCAAGGGAGAGTGAGTCCGCAGTTCTCTCTCGGTGGGGACAGCCCTGTGCCCGTCCCCCTGACCCTGCTGAGAGCCTGTCTGTGCCCTGCAGCCCCCAGTACCTGCTGGACTCCAACAACTGGATCGAGGAGATGCCCTCGGAGCGGCTGTGCCGGAGTACCCGCCAGCGCGCAGCCTGTGCCCAGCTCCAGGACTTCATCCAGGAGTACAGCACCCAGGGGTGCCAAGTGTGAGGGCGCGTGTCGCCTCACGGGGCGGGGGGCTGAGCCGGGCGAGGTGCCTGGTGGGTTGGGGGTGCAATAAAGCCTTTGCCAGTGTCCGTGTCCATCTCCAGTTCTGAGCAGACCCCGCCATTCCCCTGCTGGGGAGTCCAGCAGGTCTGTGTGACCCGGGACTCCTCGGGGCCTCGATGCCCTGCTCTGCTTCACACTGTCCGGTGGCTCACTAGGACCCAGTCTATCACAGGACCCCCAGCAGGGCCGGGAGGAGCTCCCATCTCAGCCTTGGCAGGGCCCAAGTTCAGCTCACAACAGCTGCCGTGCCCTGGAGCTGTGCACACACACACGCGCGCACACACATGCAGTGTGTTCTCAGTCAGCAGCGCTGGCCCCTGTGGACTTAGCCGAGTCCCAGTCTGTTATCAGTGGCGTTAGGTAACTTTCCAGAGTTGAGCAAGCCGGATCTGATACGTATGTCACTGAGACGCATTTTAAACAGGCTGAAGGCTGAGCGGGGTGTTTGTTAATTCTGCAGAGGGAACTGTTGTCCCACAAGGTGCTCCCGAGGGGGGCTGTCCACAGGCACACTGGCCTTCTGGGGCTTCTCCTGCCCCTTCTGGGCAGCCTTGAGAGGTTCTGACCTTCCTCAGTCATTGTGCTGTTGGCATCAACCCACCCCCAGAGCCCGGGACCCAGGCTCCACCAGCCTGGTCTGGGGGGCGGACCACGGGGAGGATGGCAGCTGGCACTGCCCGGCCCCAGAAGTTGTACCCCTCTGTCCCACCCAGGGCTGGCTGTGTTCAGGCTGCGCCCCCAGCAGCTGACTGGCCCCGATGGTGGGTGGCACGGCAGGTCTCGACTCCTGTCCAGTGGCGTGGCCTGCGCTCTAGGTAGGGCTCTGGGAGAGACCTCTGGCACTGTGGGTTCAGCCCAAGCCCTCACACACCTCTCCCCAACTCCCTTGGCCAAACTGCTCCTTACTGGAGGTTCCCTGATCTCACTGATCCACTAGGAGCCCCTCCTGTCTACGGCCGCAGAACAGGGCTGGCCCTGGCTGAGAAACAGACCGGCAGGGAGCTGCTTCCCCAGACTTTGAGGCTGTGGTCACCCTGAGACGCGGGAACCCGCGTTCTCCCCAGCTGCCTCTCACCCTGCGGCCCCTGTGGGCCCCAGGGCAGCCCCGTCCTTCCTGGTGAGGGAGTGAAGGAAGCTGGACCCTGGGCGAGGAGACGGTGAGAGGAGGGGCCTGCCCCCCACCAGGGTTCCTTCTGTCCTCCCCGCGTGAGGGCGCAACACCCCAGGGCACCCGTCCTTCCTGGTGAGGGAGTGAAGGAAGCTGGACCCTGGGCGAGGAGACGGTGAGAGGAGGGGCCTGCCCCCCACCAGGGTTCCTTCTGTCCTCCCCGCGTGAGGGCGCAACCTCTGCTCGCCCATCCTTTCGTTCTGCGGCTACCCCTGAATTCATGGGGCGATCGCTTGCTTGGTCGAGTCAGGGCCTCACTACGTAGCCCGAGCTGGCCTTGAACTCGCAGTGTTCTCCAGCCTCAGCCTCCTGAGTACTGCGACTGTGGTGTCCCCCACCATGCCTGGCTCATACGCAAATTCTTACTTCTATTACAAACCAGCTCAAGTCGCCCCTTTTCCTTGCAACCAAAGAGGTCCCTCTCTGGCCTAAAGGGGCCGACTCTGCTTCTCCAGCCGGCCGGAATCCAGGCTCTGCCGCTGCCCAGCTGTGTCTGGGGCAGGACACGGCCTCTCGCCTTGAGCTTTCATCTGTAAAAGCAGGCAGTGACTGCTGTTGTGTACACAGCACGGCCACCAGGGGCCGAGTTAGAACGCTGTACACACCAGGGGCTCCCACAGGGGACCCTGTAATCCTCACCTTCTGGACACGTGCTAGCGGGAAGATAGGAGGGAGAACTCCGTGGTCAAGCTCCGGGCAAACCACCTATCTCTAAATAAAGAAAAGCTCCCACCTTGTTTCGGTCTTCGTGCAATCCTGGAGAGCCCAGGCAGGCACCTTCTCTCTTAGAGACAAATTCATACCGGTGACCTCTCGGGTGAGTGTAGAGGGAGGGGGTCCGGCCGGGAAGGAAGGCCGGGGTTTGTTTCCGCTCCTTTTTTCTTGATGGATGGCTTGCTCTTTGAAATGTGAACTTCCCAAGGCCAGTGAGCCTGGTGCCGCTGTGGGCACGTATGGCCCTGTGGGTTGGGACATGACCAGACCTGAAGTGGAGATCAAGGAGGCCCCGAGACAGCCCAAGCAGCGCGATGGGGGCTGGGCTGGAGATATAAGTGGCCACACAGGGCCTTCACACAGCCCTTCAGCCAGGATGCTCCTTTGGCTGCTGCTGCTGCTGCTGCTGGCGCTGCTGGCTGGCACCCTCCTGCTGAGGAGCCAGCAGGAGCTCAGGAGCCTCAGCCTCCCACCTCTGGCCCCAGGCTTCCTGCACCTCTTTCAGCCCAACCTCCCCACCCACCTGATCAGCCTCACTCGGAAACTGGGGCCCATCTACCGGCTGCACTATGGGCTGAGAGGTGAGCACCTGTGCCCTCCCTGCGCCCGCGAGCCATGGGGCTTGGCCCCGTGATGCCCGCTCGGCTTCTCCCACAGACGTGGTGGTGCTGAACTCCAAGCAGTCCATCGAGGAGGCCATGCTGCGGAAGTGGGTGGACTTCGCGGGCAGACCCCAGATGCTGTCCTGTAAGGGCGGGGCCGCTTCCGAAGGGCGGGAGGGCTGGGGGGCACGCTCAGGCCTCCACGCCACCGTCCCCCACACGCAGGCAAGCTGGTGTGTCAGCGCTACCCGGACCTGTCGCTGGGTGACTACTCCCTGCTCTGGAAGGCACACAAGAAGCTCACCCGCTTGGCCCTCCTGCGGGGCATCCGCAACTCCATGGAGCTCCGGGTGCAGCAGCTGACCCAGGAGTTCTGCGAGGTGAGGCTGGGCTCTGGCGGGTCAGCCTCCCCTCCCCGCAGTGCCCCGCAGCTCCTGTTCCTCCTCCACAGCGCCTGCGAGCCCAGGCCGGAGGCCCCCTGGACCTCCACAAGGAGTTCATGCTCCTCACCTGTAGCATCATCTGCTTCCTCACCTTTGGAAACAAGGTTGGGATCGCCCGTGCCTCCCTCAGCCCTCCCAGCCTTTCTTGTCCATAACGGAAAGCCTCCCCGCTTCCGCAGAGCGACACCTTGGTGCGGAGCATTTGCAGCTGCGTCCAGGACTTGATGAGTGCCTGGGACCACTGGTCCATCCAAATCCTGGACATGGCCCCCTTTCTCAGGGTGAGCCGTGTCCTGGAGGGAGGGGGCGGAGCGCAGCCTCCCCTGGCAGCTGACCCTGCCTCCTCCCCAGTTCCTCCCCAACCCGGGCATCTGGAGGCTGAAGCAGATAGTGGAGACCAGGGACCACATCGTGGAGCAGCAGCTGAGGCAGCACAAGGTGAGGGCTGCGTCGGATGGGGATCCTGGGCCCTGCGGCCGGAGAGGTGAGGCGGCCCCCCCAGCGCCCTGGCCCTGGCCCGCTGCCCTCCCCTTACAGGACAGCCTGGTGGCCGGGCAGTGGAGGGACATGCTGGACTACATGCTCCAAGGGGTGGAGCGGCCCGGGAAGGAGCCTGGCTCCGAGCAGCTCCAGGAGGGACACGTGCACATGTCCGTGGTAGACCTCTTCATCGGCGGCACTGAGACCACGGCCACCACCCTCTCCTGGGCCGTGGCTTTCCTGCTGCACCACCCTGAGGTGCGCCCGGGCTCCTTCCTGACGTCTGGCTGGGGCTACAGGAGCGCAGCCTACCCTGCTCGGGGCTGCGGCCCCTGACCCCAGCACGGTCCCTGTCCTAGATCCAGCAACGTCTCCAAGAGGAGCTGGACCTGCAGCTGGGTCCTGATTTCCCCACCTCCCGGCTGCTGTACAAAGACCTCAAGCGCCTGCCCTTGCTCAGCGCCACCATCGCCGAGGTGCTGCGCCTGCGGCCTGTGGTGCCCTTGGCCCTGCCGCACCGAACCATCCAGCCCAGCAGGTGACAGGAGGGCTGGGTGCCCCAAAAGCGGGTTCCCGGCCAGCTTCTCACTCTGCCTCTCCTCAGAATATGCGGCTACGACATCCCCAAAGACACCATCATCATTCCTAACATCCAAGGCGCCAACCTGGACGAGACGGTGTGGGAACGGCCCCATGAGTTCTGGCCTGGTGCGTGGGGAGCTGGGCCGGGCGCGGGGGAAGGTGGCCAGTCCTGCCTCCTGCTAACTGCCACTCTCTCCCCACCATCCACAGACCGCTTCCATCTGGCCTGGTGCGTGGGGAGCTGGGCCGGGCGCGGGGGAAGGTGGCCAGTCCTGCCTCCTGCTAACTGCCACTCTCTCCCCACCATCCACAGACCGCTTCCTGCAGCCGGGCCAGAGTCCCCGCGAGCTGTCCTTCAGCTGTGGGGCACGCGTGTGCCTCGGCGAGCCGCTGGCGCGCCTGGAGCTCTTTGTGGTGCTGACCCACCTGCTCCAGGCCTTCACGCTGCTGCCGCTGGAGGGCGCCCTGCCCTCCCTGCAGCCTGAGCCCCACAGAAGTGTCAACCTGCACATACAGCCTTTTCAGGTGCGGCTGCAGCCCCGGGGTCTGGGGGCCCCGTGCCTGGGCCAGGGCCAGTGCCAGTGACGGGCGGGACCAGAGCCAGCCACGTGCCTCAGTTTCTCCTTTATTGCTCCCATACAAATCCCTCCCCTCCCCCCTGTAAACATGGTGCTGTGAGGTCGAGGGCAGAGAAGAGCCTTGGAGCTGCTCTGGGCGCGACCCCTCAGTGCTTGGCAGTCATCTGGGGTGCAAGAGAGGCGGGGGGCAGCTCAGCCTCCCCGGGCAGGGGACCGATAGCTTCTTGGCCTCAGCTTCATTTCCGTGAAGGGCACCGAGAAGTCAAAGCCCTTCCAGTGGTACCAGCTCACTCCCTGGGGAAGGGTGCCAAGCGCGTCAGAGCTGTTGTTTCAGCCATCCACTCCCAAGCCCTGAGGGCCCCCCATGCCCTTCCTGACCCTCAGCCACACAGCACTGAGGCTTCACCCATGCTGGCCCTTTCTACCCAATAAACCACCTTCCCCAGACAGCAGTCAGCGGTGTCACTCCACCTCCAGGCTGCGGCCCTGGCCCGGCGTCGATGGCCATGTCGCTCGTCCTGTCACACCTGGGGTGGGGCTCCCTCCCGGCCCTGAGCCCCACGGCACTGCCTGCCCGCGGCCTCTCACCTGGTGGTCCACCGCGCTGCCGTAGAGCCCGTTGAGGTTGGCGTAGTGGCAGTTCCGGTACCACCAGGCCCCGCGGTAGGAGACGGCGCAGGAGATGAGCAGATTGTTGGGGCCCCGGTCCCGGGCGGAGAAGACGCTGCCGCTGTGGTAGCTCATGGAGTCCCCTGGCAGGCGGAGGAGGGCGTGAGTGGGCAACCTGCCACTCCGCGCCCACCCTGCTTCGCCCCAGGCCCGGGTCACCCTAACCTGCGGTGCCGTGGTAGCCCTCCAGGTGCAGGCGGTAGTTCTGGGCAGCTGAGCCGACCCGGAAGGAGTCGTACTGGGCGAACACGGCCTCGTCCCCGGCACGGAGGTCCACGCGCATGGAGTAGTCACCGGCCTGTGTCAGGCTGTGCAGGGCCTCGTTGCCTGGGGTGGGCACCTCTTTAGGACCCTGTTGTCCACAGGGCCCCCACACCTCCCTGGCTCCCCAACCAGGAGAGGCACTGACCCAGCCAGAACTCCCCAGAGATGTTGCCAAAGCCATGGGCGTATTCCTCCCAGTCCCTCCAGAAGTCTGTCTGTCCGTCCATGCGGCGCTGGAACACCTGAGGAGCAGGCGGGGGCGACATCAGTCTTGGGCTCCTCCCCTGTGCAGCCCCCTGGGCTCCTGGTGCCACCTTACCAGCCAGCCGCCCCCATCGGTCTCCATGTCACAGAAGACGTCCAGGGGCCGCTCCCGGTTGCCGCTGAGGAAGATGGTGGTGGTCCGGGAGCGGCTGGCGCCGTTCTGCATCTCCTCCCCGCAGTCCTGAGGGAAGGGGACCGGCAGTCCACCTGCAGGATGAGACGGAGGCGTCGGGCCTCTCCCCAGACTGCGCCACGCCACCTGTGCCCCCTGCCAGGCCGACCCCGTACCGGTGGTGAAGGAGGTGGCTAAGGGCGGTGTGAGGCTCGCGCCCCACATGGCCTGGAGCCGGGCGCTGTAGGGGGTGGAAGGGAAGAGGCGGAGAAGCCGGTACGAGGTGACCCCGGCCGGGAGTGGGATCTCCTGCAGGGCGAAGGGCGGGTCAGGGCACCAGGAGGGGCCGCCGGGACAGCCCGAGGCAGCGCCCCCTAATCAAGCCTAGGGCACCTGGGTCTGCCCGCCAGGGGTGCCAAAGCTGAGCAGGTAGCCTGTGGGAGGGACTTGGGGCTCTGTCCAGGTGAGCAGGGCCGTGCGGGGTGTCACGTCCTTGGCCTCCAAGTCCTGGGGGGCCTGCAACCCTGGGAAGGAGGTGGGCAGACAGTGGGGTGAGACCCGCCCCTCTCCCTCACTCCGCCTTCCTCCCACACCCAGCCCTACCCGTGGTGAAGGTGATGCTGGCCGGGGAGGTGAGGTTGGGCCCGCGCAGGCCGCGCACAGTGGCGGTGTAGTTGGTGTCCAGCAGCAGGCTGTGCAGCGGGTAGTCCACTGCGCTGCCCGGCGCCGAGCCCTGCAGAGAGGGGGCTGGGCGAGGAGGTGGCATCAGTTCCTGGCTCCTCCGTCCCCTGCTGCCCACCCTGCCAAGTCCCCTGCAGAGGGAGGCCTCAGCCCTGCTCACCCCCAGCAGCAGTGACCCGGACGTTGTATTCATCCACAGGGGTCCGGGGGGGCATCCATTGCAGCAAGGTTGACCCCTCGGTCAAGTTCATTGCCCGCAGCTGGGTGGGGCCGTCGGGAACTGGAAGGAGGAGTGGGCTCAGGGGGTCCCGCCTCTCCCTGCCTCAGCCTCCCCTGCCCGCCTGCTCCACCACCGGCCCTTACCTGTGGCGAGGAAGCCTGTGAGAGGCTCGCTCTCCTCGAAGCCGCGCACGGAGACCACTGTCACCTCGTAGCGAGCGCCAGGGATCAGGCCTCGCAGGTCATGGGTGTGGGCCCGGCCATCCACCTGCACGCTCTGAGGCTCCCCTGCAAGAGGCCGACAGGGAGGTCACCTCTGAACCCAAAGTGCTGGAGGGTGGGCAGCGTGCGGGGCAGGAGGGAGCGCGAACGAGACGGGGCAAGGCGTCACCTCCATCCGCCAGTTGGTAGGAAACTTTGAAGCTGTCCACCCTGGACGGCGGTGGTGTCCAGCTGACCTTGGCTGAGCGCTCCTGGATGTCGCTGAACTGGAGGTCCCGGGGGCTCTCCAGGACTGGGCACGGGAGCACAGAGCAAGGGTGGGCAGGGGCACGGAGGCTGCTGCTCTAGGGGCCCCTGCCCTTGGCTCCAGATGCTCCCAGTGCCCCTTTCCTCGCAGCCTCTGGGGCGGAAGGGGCTCCCCAGGCTCCTCCAAGCCCCACTCCCCGTTGCCCCCCGGCTGAGGTGCTGGGCCCCACCCTGGCAGGAATGAGCAGGAGCCCAGCGAGGACCCTACCTGGGCTGAGGGTCCGGGCAGTGCCCTGGACGCTGTCGGCCTTGTGAGGCCCGCGCAGCCCATACAGAGTCAGGCTGTACAGCGTCGCGGGGCGCAGGTCCCGCAGCACGGCCCAGCG